TGCAGCTAAAACCTTAACAGTCCAGGTCATCCAGCTACATGGTGAGACCCTGTTTCAAACAAAATAAAATGGTAACAACATAACATTCCGTAATCATTATGGGAGGATCTTTATAACAACATAACATTCTATATTATGGGGAGGGGGGTACTTATAACTTCTTTTTGAGAAAGGTCTTAGCAGCCCCATCTCTGGAGTGGCCTCAGCTGGCGATGGTAGAATATGGGTCAAGATTACTGAGAAGGCTGCAGCCTCCATTGCAAGCTTGAGTCTCCTCAGCAGGCACTTGGAGCTCCTCTGCTTATGGGGTACTGCCCCCATGTTTGTCCACACTCTGAGAAACCCCAGAGAAGCTGTACCTCCTGTGCAGGGGCCGACTGCAGCATCAGATACCAGGGGACAGTTCCTCGGTACCATCTGGTCCCAGTGACAGAGAAAACACTGTCCCTTGCCAAAAATGGGACCCAGACTGGAGGTCAGTGTGTGCTCTTATCAGAGCTTAGATCAGTTCTGCAGGAGGGCATGGGGAAGAGATTTATTTAAAAAACAAAAAAACTGGTGGAGTAGGGTGTGGTAATGCATACTTCTAACCCCAGCAGGGCCAAGTGGAGGCAGGATCTTGAATCAAAAAGAGCTCAAGGGCTGGACAGTGGTGGACGCAGGCCTTTAATCCCAGCACTTGGGAGGCAAATCTCTGTTAGTTCAAGACTAGCTTGGTCTACAAGAGCTAGTTTCTTGAAAAAACAAAAGCAACAACAACAAAGAGCTCAAGGCCTCAGCTACAGGAGAAACTGTTGTAAAAATAAACAAATAACAACAAAACTAAACAACAACAACAAACAAAACACTGAAGACAGCACACCTACCTCCAGCCAGTACAGCTGGGATCTTACATCTGTTGTCCACACTGTCCCCTTTGCCATCTTTAGTTCACCTCTGGGGTCTCAGTTTTCTTGTCTAGAAAGCAAGAGAAGTGGAGCCCATGACTACAAAGGAGCTTAGTTAGCCAGACCTGGGGTGAGCAACCTGAAGTCTCACCCCTGGGTAGGGCTGCAAGTTTGAGCCTGCCTGGGCTACGTGGTCCTGTTCTGTCCCTAAAGAGCAGGTTAATCTATTCAGGTCAAAGGTAAGAGAGGGCTTGCTTGCTGGTTGTCCGCCAGGGCCTTTCCCTCTAGGGGACAAGGAGGGTGACTGCAGGGACACTGAAACTGGGGACCTGAAGAGGCAAGTGTTCCTAACTCAAGTCTGCCACTGCACAATCCCTTCCAGCCTGTACAGCCCGTTAGCGTCTACTGTGATGGGGTAGACAAAGCTGGTCCTGGGTCTGCCAAGACCTCTCTCAGTGAGAGTCCTGGGCCAGACCTCAGCCCACAGTTGACAGAGGTGAAATAACTCTTTGAGCCTATTTTGCATGCAACAATGCTTCCTAGCTCTCAGGGCTGAGAATTTCCAAGGTGTTTGGTTGTGTTCTTGAGAGTCTGTGCCAAGAGAGGCGCCTGTTTCAGATGCGAAGTCTTCCGTTGCTTTGCTGCAGCTGTAGTGGCTTGTCTGAATGCCCTGTTCTTCAGCCTCGGCTGCCACTCAGCTGCTTCCTGGAAGCCAGGTGTCCCCATTGCCAAGTTGAGATTTGCCTGCTGTCTCTGCCACGACACCAACAGGGGCTCTTCCTGGGGTTGGCAATCACACTAGAGGAGCTGGTAACTCAGTCTGATGTGGAGTGGGAGGTTGGGAGATCGTGGGAGTTGTCAGCAAGGCTAACATCCACAGACGTGTTTTCCTCCCTGCTTATCAGTGTTTGTCCTATCACAGACTGAACCTCCGCTAAGTGTGGAGTTCAGGCAGGCCTACAGGAGATCTGAGTCCTGAGGAATCTCTTTCCTCACCTAGGACAAAGTGTGTTAGGCCCTGGTCAGCGAAAGGATGCAGGGTGGCAGAGAAGGCAGGTGGTAAACAAAGTCACGTGGGAGGAGCACAGGGATCTGGGACCTAGTTTACCCTGTGGATGACAGGCGTTTTCTGGAGAAGACAGCCAAGGCCAGGCTTGAGGTGCCTGCACCACCTAGAACCATGACCGGGCAAGGGTCTGGACATTAGAGAACACACATGGGTCACTCTTGAAACAGGAATGCCAATTTTATTGTGATCCAGGTAGCTTATATGGGGCTCTCCTTGACTAGTGGCCACATTGGGATTTTTCAGATGCAAGCCCACTAGAAACCACTCCCCTGCCATCAGGAACTCATGAGGGTCTTGTGCTCAGAGCAGCTGCAAGCACAGGAAAACAAATTGTTCACTCCGGCCGGCAAGAGGTCATAGAAAATTCAGGGTCTGAGGGTCCACAGTTCTCAACACAGGCTTGACTCTTTTTTCTTTCTTTCTTTCTTTCTTTCTTTCTTTCTCTCTCTCTCTCTCTCTCTCTCTCTCTCTCTCTCTCTCCTTCCTTCCTTCCTTCCTTCCTTTTTTACTGGCTATGCAGATCAGGTTGGCCTCAAACGTGGGGAAATCCTCACCCTCCCTCCTGAATATTGGAAATACAAGTGCTTACAGCCATAATTGGCTTTTTTTTTTTTTTAAATAGGGTCTTTTTATTAAAAATTTATTTATTTATTATGTATACAATATTCTGTCTGTGTGTATGCCTGCAAGCCAGAGGAGGGCACCAGACCTCATTACAGATGGTTGTGAGCCACCATGTGGTTGCTGGGAATTGAACTCAGGACCTTTGGAAAAGCAGGCAATGCTCTTAATCTCTGAGCCATCTCTCCAGCCCCCTTAAATAGGGTCTTGTTCAGCTTGGTCTTGGCCTTGCCATGTTTCCCCCTCAGCCTCTTAAGCGCTAGGATTACAAGCATCCATCAGCACGTCTGTCAGAGGTGAGTGTTAAGGCTGAGTAAGGTGTAAGGCAAAGGGAGGAAGGGCCTGGCCAAAGGAAAATCTTGAACAAGATGTGCAGATGAGAAGCCATGAACAACACTGTAGTAACTTAAGTACATGTATGGCTTTGGTGCAGGAAAGAATGGTAAAGTGATGGTGGTCTCACCTGGATGACCTCAGTCTCACTATGTAGACCATGTTGTCCTCGAACTCGCAGGGATCTGCTTGCCTCTGCCTCCCAAGTGCTGGGATTAAAGGCAGGAGCTATCCTACCTGGCTTTGAAACATATTGCAAGATCTTCCTTTAGAAGTCAGTAAGGCTCAAGGAGATTAATGAATATTTGCCCAGATCCTACACCCAGCAAGCAGCAGACTACTAGACCTGCTTGACCATAGAACACAGTGCCCCTCACTCCCTACCCCTTCCTAGGATCAAGACAGGGGGAAGCCACTTGGGCACAGATGCCAGGCCATTCCTGAGATGCTTGTTCTTGCCTTCAACATTCCTTTGTTATACTTTCCTATCTGGGCTGGCAGAGTCTGCAGCCTTCCTGCCTCAGACCAGCAACTTGTCTCTCTGCAATTATTTTCAGGTCTCCATGTCCCACAGAAAGGAAGGGGCCACCACAAGAGAGCCTGCTGGGAATTAATTTTATTTTTGAGATAGGGAGCGTGTCAGCTACGCTTGCCTCGAACTCTGGATCTTCCTGCTTCAGCCTCCAGAGTGCTGGGACTACAGGCCAGTATGCCACCACACCCACCTGCAACCCATTTTTACCTGCGGGAGAGAAGGATTGCTTGGGTTTTGTTTGTTTTGTATTGTTTTTAAGACAGGGTCTCTCTTTAATTAATTAATAAAGAAATAAATGAATTAAAAAAAATAAACAACAACAACAAAAAAAGACAGGGTCTCATTTGCTGTGTAGACTGGACTGGCCTCAAACTCACAGATATCCACCTGCCTCTGCTTCCCAAGTACTTGCACCACCACAGGGAGAGGGGGACATGACTGAAACAAGGGCCATCCAATCCAGTCCCATTGTCCTGGGCATGGATTTGGTTCTGCCATTGCTTAAGTGTGCTTCACACCGACAGTATGGATACATAGGTCTGAGGCCTGCATGTTGGATGTTGTCCTGCCTTATGTCTTATTTAGGGGTTCAGTCAGGACACACCAGTTCCAATTGCCCCATGGACTCTAGTCAGTCTGAAGCTCAAAGTGGAAGAGCATATGATAACATGCAGGTGCAAGTCCAGGGACCTCTTGTCTAAATTTTATTTTCACTGTTTTTTCTTCCCTCTGCATTTGCATGTGAAGCTGTCCCGTGGCTTCAAGCTCTGTGGGGAACCTTGCCGGTCCTGGTAAATACAATGCGCCAGTTCCTTTCTGTCCAGTCAAGTCAAGAAGGAAGCTAAGGCCCTACTCATTGAGTACTTGGGGTTCAGGTACTTAGAGATGGTGTCTCCAGGAATCTTCATCATGGGCTTTTAAAAAAATCTCTATCTTCATGGGCCTAAGTAAAACAAAACAAAGCAAAAACAACAACACACAACAACAACAACAACAATTCTAACAGGTGAGAAAACTGAGACGCCCGGATTCGGAATTGTAATCTTGAGGATGGTGGTCCAGGTCTCTGTTTCGGACTCCAAAGCTCACACTGCTTGGCTGCTTCTGCAGCAGCCTTCAAAGGGCTGCTGGAAGGCGAGAGGAAACCTTTTCCTCAGATAGGTTTCAGATGCCTAAATCTTCCATCAGACCAATTAAATCACAGCCTCTGGGGTCGACGCAAACACAGTGTCTTTCCGGACTCCCCATAGAGATTGTGAAAGCGCGGGGAGGTGGGTGCTGCTCTGCGCTCTACTTTAACCGCCAGAGGCACTTAACCTCCAGAGTTCTGTTAAGGAAAGCAAAACCTAAACCCCGAGAGCTATTTCCCCTGCGCTCAGAGTCACGAGCTGGGGAAGGGCCCTGGTGGGGGTCCCTCGCCGGCTCGGCTCAGGTGTGGCGTGGCTGCAGGAAGTTACCCCCTTTGGTAGCCCGGAGCGCTGGGCGGTTGCGCCATCCAGCCCGGCTTTCGTAACAGCGAGCCGGGGCTGCCAAGAGGAGCTTCTGCACCGGTTCCTCAAATGTTTCGCGGTTGCCAAGACGGCCCGCTGCTCCGCGTCACGTGCGAGTGGGAAGTCGCGGCGACACAAGAGCTGAGTCGCGCCGGGCTGAGCGCTCGCTCGCAGTCGGAGCTGAGTGCGGAGCCCAAGACGGACGGCTACAGCTCTCGGGGCCCCAGCCGTCCCCACACCCGGTCCCCCTCCCTCGGCCTCCTCCCCCAGTCCGGGCTGCCGAGCCGCCCGGCGCAGAAGGAAGCATGCTGGCCGTCGGCTGCGCGCTGCTGGCCGCCCTGCTGGCCGCGCCCGCGGTCGCGCTGGTCCTCGGGAGCTGCCGCCCGCTGGGTAAGACAACCTGGATCGAGGGGGGTGTGACAAGGGCTCGTTCCGTGGGCAGCGAGAGCCCACGCGGACACAGGGTGCCCGCCCGGGGCTGGCCCACCTGTGCGGACGCGGTGGTGGTTCGCGCGCCCCCTGCTGCGTCTAGCACCTTTGGCTGCCCGCTCCTGTCCGGGCAGTTGCCTAAAGTCTGACTGTGTACAGGACTGTGTTTTCCCGAAACCTGACTCTGGTGTCTGGTTCCCAGTGTCCCCATGTGTCTTACTCAGTTGCATCCCGGGTCACTCCGAAGGGAGATACCCAAAGGGCGCGCCCTAGCGGAGTAGTAGTCCCTCTGGAGAGTTCTTTGTGCCACTAGCTCCGTCCTCTTTAGCTGTGGCACCTCGCTTGACTCAGTGCCACTGCTTGTCGTGTCGTGTGTATTGACAGTGACCTGATTGTGAAGGGTCTGACATCATGGGTCTGAGTCACTGGTGCTCCCGCCTCACTCCTTAGCCAGTACTAGCCCTGGCACGCAGAATGCCAACACCCACCCCCACCCCAATCCTGTGAGTCTGACAGCAAGGATGTGGGACCTTTTGGAGCTGTGCACCCGCCCCCGCCCCATCCCTTCCGGATAAGCGGGTAGACCAGGCACAGGGTAGGGCTCCGCTTCGTGGCACTCTGGCTCTAGGGTCTAGGCCTTTCTGTGGGCTCTGGCTTCAGGCCTAGTGGCCTGCCTGGTGTCTTCTGGAGGAACTGGTCGACTATCTCTCTACTCGTTATTTTAGGGGCTGAGGACTTCTGCGAGGTGAGGACATGGAGTCAAGGGTCACTGGGGAGATTTCCACTGTGCTGTTTGTGGAGGACATACTGTTAGTTCGTTCTCTCTCTCTCTCTCTCTCTCTCTCTCTCTCTCTCTCTCTCTGAAAGGCAGAATGCTCGGCTTGGCACCACTGCTTATATATTTTTTCTTTCTTTTTAGGCCAGACTGGCCTCAAACTTGTGTCTCTCCTGCCTCCATCTCTTGAGTGCTGGGATTTAAAGGCATGTTACACCCCCACGCGGCTCTACACATACTTTTAATCCTCTACTTGATTGACATAAAGCTTTGAGAAGAGCCTGAGGTGCAGAAGGTGCGTCAGGAAGCTGTCAGGCCAGTTGTTGGATCCCCAGCCCTTCACAATTCAGCATTCCCTAGGTCCCTAATACTTCTCACTGTTGAGCTAGACCAGCAGACAGAGCTGAGGGCATTTGGGGAAAGCCGAGCATCACTCTCATTTGGCGGGATTCTGGGGCAGAAGGCACGGATGGAAGAGAAGGTCCCCACTTGGCTTCTCGTCGTGCCAGGCAGGACTGAGGCTTTCTCTTCTGTCCTGGTCTTGGGAGAGCAGGATTGGGCCCCTCTGCCTGCCTCAGTTTCTATTTCCCCGCCCACCCCAGCACCATACCATTTCCCTTTGTTCCTGAGGAGTCACAAGGCACTTGGGGGCCCAAGTTGTTTTCCTGTGGTTCGGAAAGGACCCCCAAGGGTGGGGTATCTTCTGACCCCAACAGCCTTTAGGAGGCAGAACTGGGAGTCTGGGGAGGAAGTGAAAGCTCCCATCTCAGAAGGAAAATGCAGAGAAGTACCAGCCCGCTCCCACACCCACACTTGCACAGTACAGACCAGAGTGACAATCAAGAAACAAGCATCAAACAGGAAGTGTGGAGCAGATGACTGAGATGTTTGGCTTTGGAGAAGTGAGGCCAGCTGGGGCTGGCTCACAGGGGAAACCCATCGGTGGGATTCAGTCTCCCTGCTAGGGCCTGCCAGAACGCCTCATTTGTCCTGCTACCTAGGTAAGGTCCTGGAGCACCTGGGATTGAGACTTCCGCTAGGTCAACATTTTAGGGGCTGCTGGCTAAGGACAGTCTGGGTATGGGTGGCTTCAGTTCCCTTTCCTTCTGCAGGGCAGGAAAACACACAGCCGCATAGAGGCCTAAGTATCTAAGCCACCTCTCGACTTCTGAATTCCCTTTGGAATTCCTCTTTCTGTCCATAAAACCCACCTGCACTCCAATCAATGTTTTTTTTCTGAAGAATACTATTTTGTCTAGCCTTGGATTTTGATTAGGAAGGATGAACTTTTGTAAAAATGACAATTAAAACTTTGTTGTTGTTATTGTTGTTGTTTTGGTGTTGTGAGGTAAGGTTTCTCTGTATAACCCTGGCTGTCCTGGAACTCACTGTGTAGACTAGGCTAGTCCTGAATTCAGATATCCACCTGCATCTGCCTCTGCTTCCTGAGTGCTGGGATCAAAGTTATGCACCACTATACGCAACCCAAAATGACGATTCTTGATCCTTGACCATTCATTGAGCTTGTATCAGAGTATCAGACAGTAAGCTCTAGATTTTTAAAAATCAAACTGTTGCTCGTGATTCACTGCCAGGGTTGAGAACATTTGCCTACATGGTTGAAGAGCCGAGTAAAGGCTCTCCCTCTCCCAGAAGCCTCTCCCCACTTTGGCTCTCCCCCCTGTTTATCCACTGATGCACACAGTTTGGATTCCCTTTAAAGCCCTTGGGGACTGTATGAGATCTGTCATTCAGACTCCACCCTAAAAGGATGCTGAACATGGCCAAGAGCAAATCCTGGAGAGAGATGGGTTCAGTCTCTGACTTGAGCACTGGGTACCAACTCTCCAGGGATACTGTCTCAGGAGGCAGCTAGACAGAGGGACCATCTCTGTCTGACTGGGACCCAAGGGCAACAAGAGCCTGCCTGTTCTCTGCCTCATCTGACCCCCATCAGACTGTAAACAAGTGTGGCCCTTGCTATGTTACATAAGCAAAGTAACCCCAGAGTTCTGGCTGCAAACACATGTTCCCTCCCTCTGCAGGCCTTTCATCTGTCCCTGCAGGCCTGAGCACCACAAACCCCGTCACCAGATTGAATCAATGGCTAAAACTGTCTCAGATAGGCCAGTGGCCATTGGTAGCTATTACAGTCTAAGTTGATAGAAAAGTCAAATGGGCAGGTGGAATGGCTTAGTAGGAGAGAAAAGCACTTGCTAGCAAACCTGATGATCCAGCGACCCAGAAGGTAGCATTACTTCCAAGGGCTGTTTCGCTGGCTTCCACATGGGTACTGTGGCTTGCTAATGCACACAAACAAGCAAACACATGTAATTTTTTTTAAAAAGCTAATGTATAGTGGCATATTCCCCTAGGCCCGGTACTCAGGAGCCAGAGGCACGTGGATCTCTGTGAGTTTGAGGTCAGCCTGATCTACAAAAATTCAAGAAAGAGAAAAAGTGATCTCTAGATGTGCTTGATGGTGCAGTTCTAGCATATAGGAAGTTGATGCAAGAGGATTGCGAGTTCTAGTCCAGCCTAAGCTACAGAGACAGAAATGGGGGTGGGGTGGGGGAGGATCCTTAAAATAAAAAACAAAACAGAACAAGCCTGGACTTCTTCACCACCACTCATTTTCAGTGCTGTGGCTTTGGGGGACTAGCGGTGGCCAGCATGGCTTTGGGGGACTAGCGGTGGCCAGCATGGCTTTGCGGGACTAGCGGTGGCCAGCATGGCTTTGCGGGACTAGCGGTGGCCAGCATGGCTTTGCGGGGCTGCTCATGAGCATACCCATAATCAAGGAAAGTGGACCGGACAATGCGGGCTAGAGAGCTGCGCAGGGTTTTCCACAGCTCTCTGCTAGTCTTGTCCTTCGGCCTTGACCCTGTCGCTCCCCCACTTGAACTCTCTGTTTTTGTCCTGGCTGAGCTTTGGAGCCAGGCAGACGTCACCCCACGATAACTATATGTGGCTGTAAGGTTTGTTTATTTTTATTTTGTGTGTATGAGTGTTTTGACTGCATGTATATCTGTGTATACACGAGTGCCCTGATAGGCCAGAAGCGGGTGCTGGATCCCCTGTAGCTAGACTGACAGACAGTTGTGGGCCCTCTGGAAAGGTATCTAGTACTCTAAGCCACTGGACTGCCTCTTCGGCCCGAGACTTTGTGTTTTCATCTAGGAAAAATAAAGATAGGGAGATAGATAAAATTGGACTTGGAGAGGTCTGGAGGGACGCTCAACACTTAAGATCACTTGTTATTCTTGCAGAGGACCAGGGTTTGGTTCCTACCACCCACATGGTGGTTCATATTTATCTGTAACTCCAGAATCCAGGGGATCCAGTGCCCTCTTCTGATCTTCTCAGGCACCAGGCGTGTGTACGGTGTGAATACATACACACAGGCAAAGCATTCATACATGTAAAATAAAATAAATCTTAAAAACAGTGAAAAATGGGTTGTAAAACTGGGTGTGTTGTGAATGCTTTCAACCCTAGCATGTAGGAGGCAGAGGCAAGGCCAGCTTGGTCTACACAGTGAAATCCTGTCTCAAAATGGCTTACAGACTTGGCCTGCAGGTTCTGCATCCTGACAACCCATGTTGAAGGTACCAGAGAGAGAAAAAACCTGTATGTTCAGGATGTACACAGACTTTTTCTCTCATTATTCTTTAAAGAACACATGATGCTCACTGTTGCCCTGGCATTTACACTGTATTAGGCAGTGTAAGCTCTCGAGAAATGACGGGAAAATAAGAGTATGTGCCGGGCTACCCATAGTGACTTCGTCATTTTGTAGGTGGTCAAGAGCATCCTTGTGTTTTGGTATCTGGGAGGACGATGCTAACACCAGTGGCAGTCCTGAGGACCACTGCTGCCTCGCAGGTGGCTATGAGGATTAAATGGGCTAAGTCAGGTGCTACACAGTGTCCAGAACAGTCTCTGGTACAGAGTGAGTGCCCAAATGTGTGTGACTAAGGATCCATTTAGTCTTGAATGTAGTTTGAATTCCTACTGAGTTGCAGTAACTATTATAAGAAGTAAGATAGAGCAGTGAACAAGACAGACAGACACTCCTGGCTCACTGGAGCAGCCTCCTGGCAGAGTGACACGGGATAAAAGTGGCAGTGACTAATGTGGAGGGCAGAAGTGCAGGGGAGCTGTGGGACTGTGCATGGCAGGTAGG